AGGGTTCACTGCTGGACCTGATTCTAATATTTTCATTAGTTACTTGGATGACGAAACAAAGAATACTTAATTACTCTGGAGGATGTGCTCAAAAATGTTGCTGGGAAATGGGAGTCATAGTAGGAAATCAACCAGATGTGGCTCGTGATGCTCATGAGCAACAAAATACGTCAGTGCCAAGCAGCAAATCGCTGGTCAAGCAGCTATTCAAAGGGAAAAGAGGCACGAATGAGACACTGAACAGTACACAGCTGCTACAGAAGAAGGCAAATCTTATTCCAGGGTGTATAAACAAGAGGTGAAACACCAGAAGCAATTTAATAAGGGCTAGGTTGAAATACCAGGTTTGGTTGGGTTTGGATGCTGTGCTAGGAGAAGGTAGGAGAAAGATGAAGGCAAACTGTAGAGGGGCTAGAGGAAAGAAGCAAGGGTTGTAAATGCTTCCAAAACTTGGAGGATTTTCTTTGCTTTTTATCCAGAAGGGGGGAAAAAAATGCATGAGAAGATGAAAACTATCTTCTAGGACAGAGGAGACTTATAAAAAGGATATTGGCAATTGTTCTGGGTACAACTCAACTAAATTGACTTGATTTCCTACAAAGATCGTTGTTACTGGATATCTGGGGAAGAAAAATAAAACAACAAAAATCAAACCCAAAATATTTCTAATTCAAAGCAAAGTCGTTTGAATTAAAATTCCTAAATTAATTCCTATTCTTTTCCTGTCTGGAAGTCGTTCAGCTGCTCTCAGGGATGGTTGGATTCTGCTCAGGGCACCAAGGTCTCTCTCCATCTGTCCTTTTCTGAGTATCCTCTCTCTACATGTGCCGATGCTTCCACGTTCCCTGTGCCTGCCCAGAATGCAAAGCACTGATGCAAATCTTGTGTTTGTGCTTTAGAAGAGCTTCAGACACACTGTTGGTGTTAATTAATTACCCAACAACAGGAGGATGGCAGCGATACCAAGTGAAGCATGGAGCTTTCCTTGTCCAATAGCAAAATCAATCCTTCCTCTGCTCTGCTGCAGTTTTACCACTTTGCTTTTCTAATGTACAAATACAGCTCTATATAAGCAGAGCCAAGGACCTCCTTGTCTGCACATCTCCCCCAGCCAGCATGTGGTTGACAGGGGGGTGAATGTGGTGCTGGGGTCCTCACTTCCAAGGGCTAGAAATGCCAAAGCGCTGGAATTCAAAGCAGTTGTGCAAAACCCCACACACTGCATGGCAGGGAAGCAGGAGCATTCCCCACTTTTCCCTAACAAGGAACTCCTAATTTGCAAATAAAGGAATAACATATGGGTAAAGTTTGCCAGTTTGATGTTCAAGAAGGGCAGGAAAAAGAAAGAGGAATGTGCTTTCTCTGAACTCTAGGAAGATTATGAGACAAGCTGCTGGATGTCTCTGGGTAGAGATAAAGGAAGAGAGAATGCAAACAAACCCAGAAGCAGCCTCATAGTAGAGTCTATTGTCCATCAACTGATGACAAAAGGGGATTGAGGAAGGGCTTTTTGAAAACTAAAGGGGTCATGCAATGAACAAGTGCTGGTGGACATGGAGGAGAATGATACATCAAGGTCAAGGACGTTGTGAGTGCTAAAGTGAGAGAGAAGAGAAAAAGGAGTTTAAGAGTGTGACTGCTGCTCAGCACAGCCCTGGGGTGTTAGGGAATTTTCTGGTACTCTGAAGGTGTTATCTTCTCCTTTCATAAATAGCACCAAGTTCTTAATGATCAGATGGAATGGACAGGTTTCTGTGGCCATCTTTCTTCTTGCAAAACACTCTTTATTCCATACAGGTAACAATGTGAGAGTGAACTTCTCAATGTAGATGTACAGCATGGTTTTGGGGAGGGAATGAGGTCCATCCATACTTCTTGGAGAGGGAGCTACTGAGTGCTAGTCATCTCTAAACAATCATGGGAAGTCACCAGTAACTATGAATTTCTTGCTGTATTTTACCTGGAATATTTACCAAAAGCATGATACCAATGGCTTTCAATTTAAAACTCACTTTATAGACCTTGCAAAAATCACTTTACAGACCTTTGGGGGTTGGAACTAGATGATCTTAAGGTCCTTTCCAACCCCAACTATTCTATGATTTTAAGATGCTCATAGCATCCTCATTCAGAAAAAAATAATGTGTATTCTCAGAAGGATGAAACAAAAAGTTAAATCATTTCTATTAGGCAAATTTTGATAAGCCTTAAAGATGAGACCCCCTTTGTTCACTGGAGAAATAAGGTATAAAATCACTGTTCACACAGTCTCCGCACTGCTCCGCTTGGTCACCTGTGGGACACTGAGGTGGCTGCAGCTAGAACACTTCATGTGTTGCTGCTGAAAAGGTGCATGAGGAAATGAGCAGAGAGGGTAGGATGTGGTTAAAGCCTAGGTTTGCTAACTGGAGCTAATGTGAGGGAAGCATATTATGTCTCACATCCATTAAGGCCTCCAGCAATCACCTCCCACTAAGACGAAGGAGCAGCGGAGGAGGAATTGTGACTTCCTGAGTCCCAGTAGCTCCTGGAGCTGTTCCTGTTAATATTCAATTATGTGCTGCCCTGGACTTAAAGCACTGAACTACATCTCACTGCAGCCCTGAGGCTCAGCTGCAACAAACACAGCTGCAGGAGGCTGAGCCGCAGTGAGAAACAACCCCAAAACAGGGTTGTCACACCTCCGGCTGCCTGTGCAGAACCAGCACTGAGGAGGAACCATGCTGTCTACCCCTGCCTTCTCCATCTCCCCTCTCCAGGCAGTGTGCCTTTGGGAAAGAGGCTACAGATAGGAGCTGGTTATACTGGGGGCACGGTCATCAGACCCACTTTTCCTCCTTGTTTTTTATCCTGGATGTGCCAATTGGCCATAGAATGTTCTGCGTGCTCTTCCTCTCCATCTCATACCAAACAGCTTCTTCCATGGCTTTTCCTTCACTTCACCCCCCTAACCCCAAGTGTCTCCCATCCCTATTGATCCATCCATGGTCAGATAAACCCCTTTCAATTCCAGATCATGGTATTAACTTGACATTTGCAAAAGGTCGCCGTGTTTGCTCTGCCTGGGCGTCACATTGCTCACTCTGTTGTGTTTTCGTTTTGTAAGCCCTTCAAGGCAAAGGTGATCTCCTAGGGTATGACTATAGAGTGTCCTGGAAAGCAAGGCACCTGATCCCAGTTGGTGTCTAGGAGCTGAAACAGACAATAAAGCGCTCCTTGATGGAGAGGCTGGCTCTGGTTGTATAATCATCAGAGGTTAACGAACCTTAACTTGTATGTAAAAGTCTTACTTCCAGAAGAGGTCTGTAACAGCATCTCATGGTAGAACAGCTATTATTATAGTATCATAGAATCCCAGATTAGTTTGGGTTGAAGGGACTTTAAAGCTCATCCAGCTCCAACCCCTGCCATGGGCAGGGACACCTTCCACTAGAACAGGTTGCTCCAAGCCCCTGTGTCCAACCTGGCCTTGAGCACTGCCAGGGATGGGGCAGCCACAGCTTCTCTGTCTCCTAATGTCTCATCTCAGTCTCTCCTCGGGCAGGTTAAAGCCATTCCCCTTGGCCTGTCCCTACAGGCCCTTGTCCAAAGCCCCTCTCCAGGTTTCTTGTCAGCCCCTTAAGGTATTGGGAGACTGTTATTCACCCCAGAGCCTTCTCTTCTCCAGGCTGAGCAAGTTTTAAAGAGTTCCAGTGCCAGATCACTTCTGTACTTCCAGGAGTCCATTCAGCCTGTGTGGTATTCCTGGAGCATATGCCATTTGTTACTGCTGCAGGAACAAATACAGGACATAAGGAGATGACACACAACACGTATTTTGTTCACCCAGTTGATGCACATGAAGGCACAGCTTTTTTTAGCTTGCAGTTTGTCACATTAAAACTGTTTGTTGCATCAAACTAATTGCAATTGAGATGAGAGCATATGTTACATGCAGTGTTAGCATGGCTGTCCTGCAGGAGTTGGCCCCAGCAAGGTGCAGCTGGGAGAGAAAAGATGTACGAATTAAGCCTGTGCTCTCAGGTAGGAATGGGTCTGATCCTGTCCTCTGGTCCTGGCATGACCATCATCCCTGTGTTTGCCTCCCAGCACAACTGGAGGTGGAAATGCAGGCATAAAGCTCTGCCATGCCATAATCTTGGTTAGGCAGTCGGGAGGGCTCCAGCCTAGGTAGAAACTCAGCACGTTCCCTTTATATCTATAAGGAGACACTCCAGGCTTTGTTACACTCTCTGAGTGTCAGCTGCAGAGAGGCTGGACCACAAAGGTAGATGGGAGAATGGGGCTGTAGGACTCAGCAGGGTGAAGCCTGTGGTTGGGGCTGTTCTTCTCTTGGTGATGTAGGCATCTCATGCAGCAACACATCTACTGACAGCATCTGGAAGAGGTGTGGATAGGGGATCCTAGCCTATAGCTTTAGTGCCAAGATCAACTAGACTGAAAAGCTGTGCCAGCTCAAAGAACAGCCCAACTTGGATCCTCTGCCATGGTTTGCTTTGAGAGTGACACAAAAGCTTGATCGTTCCCCAAAACTCCATAAATGCATTCCCAGGCACTAATTTTTCCCTTGCATACAGTGGTATTCCTTAAAACCCTCTACTGTTTTGCTTTGAAAACAGCTCATTCCCTCAACTATCCGGGTTCCTCTGCTTCTTTAGGATATCCCTTGCCTGACAGCAAAAACTACACCAGGCAGGGCATGACAGTGGTGTAGCTACGTATAGGTTACTCAGCTGGCACACACGGGTTGGGTGGCTGGGAGGTGGCTGACAGCCCTGACGTGTTATGGCTAAGTTCTGCTTCAATTTCTAATCCAGATCTCTCCCTGCTGCCCGTGTGCAACTTGCAGGAATCTGAGTGTGTCTTCGAAATACCCGTTTTCCCCCCAAATTCATCCAAAATTAACTAATGGGTTCAGAAGCTTTGGGGAGAGGGGGATGGCCATGGATGTGAACAGAGAAGCGGCACAGCAGAACCTTTATTTCCTTAGGGAGGCAGCCTGAAGAAATCTCAGCGTTTATTTTCATCTGTTGCTGAGCTTACGACCCACACAAATAACAGGGAAAAGCGAGCGAGCAGCCGACTGCAGAATGGGAACAGGGAAAATGACTCAGCAAGCTTGGCACCAAGCTGGAGAAGATGCAGGTACATTATAACCTTGCTCGAGCATCAGTCTTGTCCGTAACATGACGTAGAAAGGGCAGCTAGTGTAAGTATTTGCATCCCATGGAAACATTCCTCCTGACAAGTGATTTAACTCTACTCTTGCAAACAGTTATATACAGGAGCAGAGCAGGTGAGAGGCTGCCTTTATATTCACCAGTAAGGAGGAGTAAAAGTTCAATGGCAACCCCTCACGGCTTTTTAAACATCATTTATTTTCCTGTTATTAGTTGACAAATAGCTGCTGAATTATAGTTTCATGCTTTGTTCATGTCATTTTGCCTAAGATCAGTACTTCCTGCTACATCACCTTAGAAACTTGATCAACAAACACTGAGCTCTACACGTAAACAAAGCTTTATTTTACCCTCTTTTTGACAGCAGGCAGTGTTTTAAACCCAAAACATTTCAGGTTCTCTAGGCTATTTGCCCCAGTTTCACAATTTGGGCTTGGTTTTGAGGGCCTGTCAGCATTGTTTATGCTTAGATCTGTTTGCGCAGTGAGTGGCAAAGCAAATACATTGCTGAAAATTGCTTTCTGGAATGGGGCTTTCTGCTGTCAAGAGCCGAAATGAAACTGCACTTTCTAACATGTGGGAACTAAAGAGTGAAATAAATTAGAAAGAGAAGTGAAACGAGAAGATTTGTTTTCAGTGACAAAAACTAACCAAAATGAAGCAAAGACAATGCTGAGAAGTAACCAGAACCGTGTCCGAAGCTCGAGCTCTAATAAAGCCCAGGGGTGTTACCTCTAACAGAGGAACTGAAGAACTCTGCAGGGTGCTTTAACCGTTTCCTCGTGGAATAGCATCAGATCTTGTCCTGACCCCACAAGAAAGGTCTTTATTTCGTTGTGGAAAAAATAGGACTGGAGCCTTATAAAGTTTTCTTACTTGCTCTCACAAGATGAGCATTTCCCAGGTAGCTGCTGTTAAACCACAAATTAACCCAAAAGCAAATGGGGGGATTTTATTTGGCTGTTTTAAAACCCTGCAGAGAACCTCAGTACTGAGCCTCCTGTGATCTGCCACAACAGAGTCCATCAGTCAGGGATTAATTTTAAGGCAGATATTAAAGCCTACCATATGATGAAAGATTTTCCTATATGTGCACTTCAATGGGATGCTTTAAATCCTGTGCATGTGTGTATATGTGCATGCTGGTGTTTACTCAAAACTTCTTCATTCACAGGCAGACACAGCCTTTGGCTTCTTCAGGCCTTTCCAAGGAACATAAACTTAGGAAGGGAAAGAGAAGAGTCACCTTTAAACCTCTTGTTTCTGAAAGCAAGTGTTTGAAGGAAACAGGCTCAGGTGGAAGGAGACTGTAAAGATTTTATAACAATGCTTTTTAAGAGGAGGCAGAATTCCTGCTCTTTCTTAGCACAAGACCTTTCAAGAATTTAAAGTAAATTGGGGAAAAAGAACCCTATTTACAGAAATGGATCGTTTTGCTTTTCTCCTCAGCTGTAACCTAAAGCATTTTGCCTCGACAACATGAAATAAAGCTGTGTGATGCTGCACTGTCAGTGCTGCCGCCGCCACTCTGCCTCCTGCAAGTCTCCCAACAGCGATGTCCCTGTCGGAGCCCAGCAAGGGAGTGAATCCTTCTTCTTCCAGTTGAAATCCTGCACCAGGAAAACTCATCCTTCAGCTCTATAAAACACAGCTCGAGTTTGCAGCAAGTGGCTCATTGCTGTTTCTGAGGGTTGGTGTGGGCTAGGTAACTCTCTTCCCATGACACAGCAGAACAGCAACAGCAGCAGCAGCAGAGTAAAAACAGATCGGTTCTGGCAGTACTCCTAGAAGACTACTTTATATCCCAGCTCCAGCTTCTTTCTCCTTTAAGGGTAATCTGGAGATGGGAATAAATGAATAAAAAGAGGCGTAGTGAGGTAGGGAAATAAGGCCCAGGGGTGCGGGAAGTGAGGCATGCTGGAGCTTGGCTCTGTGGCAGTGGGACAACCTGGATAAAATGGTAGAAAGGAACCCCGAGGTAGAAATCCTCCCAAAATTGGATGGGAAAGGGATAAAAAAAGATGGAGTGTAGGGTGGATACAGGAAAGACTCTAGGAAGAAGGAAGGAACGAAGAATGTGCTGTTCCTCACTCAGTTAACTCTTTTGAGCTAAAATAATTCATAATTCCTACAAAATTCCTGTAAAACTTGAAAAATAATAACAGAGGTATCTATATACAGTTACATACATATATACATAGTGCACAGGCACTCAGAAGTGAGTCAGTTGGAGCACAGGTACTTCCAACAGCTTTAATGGGAGAGTGAAGGGATTTTACCTGCCGACAATACCAGGACTGGGCCCGGGCGGTCCGTCTGGGCAGCTCTGGTCACTCCTATGGCTTATGGTACATGTGACAGGCATCAGTGTCAACCTGCAGGCAGTGAAGTGGTTGATTAAATGACTCCCTCAGAGAAAACTCGGTGGGACACTGAAGAACTGAAATTCCAGAGTTAAAATCTATTACACCTGTGGGTCATGCTTTAATCTGCTCGGGGGCTGTGACTTCCATGGAAGCGGTAAAGAGGGAATGAAAGTGACACCTTGTCCTCCTTCAGTTTTTAACAGCAAATCCATTCCCCCTACAAGCCAGACCCTTAAACCTTGCACTTGACCACTGTGATCCCCCTGTTTCGGGAGCAGAATTAGGGGACCTCCTGCGGGAAACATGCACTACATTCCACAGAGAAAAAACCGGCACCCCCCTGCGCATCGCCAGGCAGGGGGTTGGCGCTGGAGCTGGTGGGCTTCACGTCCCAGATCTCATCCAAAATCCTGGGGGCAGGAGGACAGCTGGGAAAACAAACCCACTTCAGCACCGCAGGCGGAACAGCAGCCTGAGGAACGCGGGCAGGCGGCGGGACCCCGGGGGCTGCTCCAGGGGCGGAAAACGGCTCATTTCTTCCCCTTTTCGCTCCTCTGTTTTGTACACGGGGGTTGTGCTGTTGCAGTGCCGAGCGTACGGCTCCTTCCAGCGCCTGCAACCCTCCGTGGAGAACCGGCGGTGTTACAGGTGAGAGCGGGGAACCGCTCCCCCGCCAACCGGCGGTTAACCACCGCCTCCGGCCGCTCCGCACGGCATCGCTCCCGTCTCCAGCAGCCTCAGCCTCGCACAAACAATGTTCACCCTCCCCCCCCCCCCCTTTTTATTACCTTTTCAGTTTTCTCTCTATTTCTTTATGTCCCAACCGGTCCCAGCACCCGCCGTGCACCATGTCGCGCACCGTCCAGGAGCGGGGTCCACCCCTTAGAAGCGCCCGTTCGGCTGTTTCCCGTTAGCGACCAGCGGTGTCAAGAGAGGAGGAAACCCGAAACAACCCGCTCTAATTATTCTCATTACCAGCAATAATGACAGCAAAGCAAGCGCAGCTACTCGCCTTGAGCCGCAAGGCTGAGGGCGGTGGGGGCGTGAGGAGGTGCGGGTGAGTTGCGGGGCTGCCCGGCGTTCGTAGGCGGTGGGTCCGTTCCGCGGTGTCCGTCGTCACATGAAAGTCCCCTTTAAGTTTCCATAGAGAGGCCTCCGGGCGTCACATGATGGACATGATATAACGAAACAACGTTGTGCGGAGGGAGGGAAGCGGTCGGGGAGGCGGCGGGGAAGAAGCGGTACCCCCTTCCCCGGGACCGCCCCGGGTCCCAACCCCGGCCCGCCCGCCGCGCCTGCACCTGTCTCGGCGCCCGGCGGCCCCGCTGATGGGGCTGCTGTGTGGCACCGTCCCCCTTCGGAGGAGGACTAGAACCGGCGGAGCAGCGGCCGCTCTCGGAGGTAAGTTACCGGCGGGACGCGGGCTGGGGAGGGCGACGGGGAGAGGGGAGGGGGGGGGCCCGGCTGAGGGGGTGGCGGTGCGCGGCGCCCGCGCCATGTTTGCGCGGTGGCGGTGCGAGGAGCGGCGGGGTGGTGGTGTCGGGGTGCGGGCTGAGGGGGTGCGTGCGTGCGGGAGGACGGAGCCGGGGTGCCGCGTGTCCCCGCGGAGCGGCGGGGCGGGTGCGCGCCCTCCATGTCCGCATTCCAGCTCATGTTGCGCAGATAAAATTCAAACTTGAGGTAAACACAAGCGGCGGGGGGGGGGGGGGGGGGGGGGGGGGAGGGGGTGGTTGGTGTGAGGAGGGAAAAGGGAGGGAAAGGGAGGCTCGATCCATCCCGGCTCCCGCCGCCCTCTTCCCTTCGCCGCTGCTCTCCCCGCCCGCTGAAGCCCTCACGCACCTGGGCTGCCAGCACCGAGCACCCCCGGCCCGGGTGCTCCGCAGGGGCTGCGGGCAGCGCTCGCCTTCCCGCAAGGGGAAGGGAGAAGCCGGGTGAGCATCCCCCGTTGCCCGCTGGTAGGAGGCAGCAACTATATGGGTATGTGCGCGGCGGACGGTGCGCGGCAGGTGCGCGGGCCGCTGTCGCGACATGGCGGGGGCTTGCCTGTCGCGATGTGTGTGTGTGCGGGGGAAAAGCCAAGTGACAGCCGAGCTGCGGTTTGTTGAGGGGGGTGTGTGTGAGGAGGGACGGGACTGCGTTGCTTTCCTCGCTGCGTGGGTATCCCGAATGGAGCCAAAATAGCACCGATTCCCCCCCAAAACACCCCGGGCGTGGGGGGGGGGGGCCGGTCCGCATTTCGAAGTGCGTATGGAGAAAACAAGATGCGGGAGGGGAACGGGGGGGGTGGGAAGGAGGAGGAGGAGGGCGGGGAGGGCCGGGCCGCGCCGCCGCTCGCCCGGGTCCGTGACACAGGCGGTGCCGCCGGCAGCGGGGTATGTTTAGCACGTCCCCTCCCGCAGCTCCTGCGCGGGTGATGGAGGCGGCCCCACAGGTGGGTGCGTGCGTGAAGGGGCGCGGGGCGAAGCGCTCGGCGTGAGGGGAAGGCTGCTGAAGCGGGAAGGGGGGGGGGGGGATCGGCGCTGTGGGAGCGGGGCAGCGGCGGTGCGGGGCCCGCGGGTGTTGCGGGTGTGAGGGCGCGGTGCGGGGCCGGCCATGGGGGGGGCCACGCCCACCGCGCCCCTCCGGACCAATCACCGCGCTGCTCACCCGCTTCCCCCCCCCCCCCCGCTCCCCTCCGCCCGCCCTTGGCATGGCGCGAGCCCCGCGCCCGCCCACCCGCCTGTTTGTTATGGTCGGGGCCACGTGCCGCCGGCTCAGCCGGTCACGCGGACTCGCCCCGCCCACCGACCCCCTTCGCCCCGCCGCTGTTAGCCACGCCGGGAGAGGGGGTGACCGGGGGACACGGGTTCGAGACCCCCTCCTGACCTAGCGGGGGAGGAACGGGGAGCAGGGACCCTCTGCCCCCTTCGGGCTGCGCCCACCCTTGGGCCCCTTAAACCTCGTGGGTCAAGCCATGGCATTCCTCTCCGGAGCACAACTGGTTATACCCAATCGGTGCTTTAAATCCTTTTCTGTCTATCCCCCCCCCCCCCTTTTCCGGTATAAACCAGCTGCGTACCTGCCTGCCCTGGCGTTGTCGCGCACGTAGGTAGCGCAGGATCGTGTTTAGCTGTCGGTCTCCTGAGCCTGAAGCTTTGAGCCTATTTATAGGTAGGTTGGGCAGCCTTTAGCGTGAAGGACTTGTGCCGCGTCCAAATCTGCGGCAAAACGAGGTGTCTGAAACCACGGCGTTATGTTGTCCGACGACCTTTGTTCCTGGAAATGGGGTTTCCTGGGAAGCTGTGGAGGAACGGGTGTTATAGGCTGCGTGTAAAAGACTGGTCGGTTTGGAGCTGAGGAACGTCATGCCGTTTTAATGGAAGCTCTCGGGTAGCAGAACAAACAGTAAGAGGATACTCGGTTCTAGATCGGTGGCTTGCGGCTTGCAGGGAGTGGACCCCGGCTGCCTGCAAACAACTTCTCTGGGGTCAATAGGAAGCAAAGGACGTGTGTTCTCTATAGGCTTGTGTTCATTACACTGATTTCTGCACTGCTAAAGATTCCGGGGCTGGGGAGATGAAAAAGGCTATGAGAGATTGCTGTTCTAGATAGCCAATGTGTTTTGGTTTAGAATAAGTGTAGGAGGGATGAAACCCCCCTGCATCTGTGGTCTTTGCTGTGTACGTGCCTATTGCGCTATTCAGAAACATAAAATGCAATGTATTCCTAAGAATTACATCATGATTGGTGACGCTGCGACTCTCAAATAGCCTTAAAGAGTTAAATAACAGTAGATGAACGAGAATAGGTCAAGAAGAGGGGAGACGGTTTCGTAACTAATGGCAAGGAGTGCGCACGGGTATTTAGAACTGGCTTGGAGTTGCAGTAAAAAGGAGTCTTCTTTAGGAGTAGTAGGATTTTAATGCCCTATAAATACAGACATTGAGAAGGAGGATGGAAAGATAAATAAGGTTTGCATCTTTTTGCTGGTCTAGTGGAGTAAATGGATCAGGGGACGGTTTATGATGCTTCATGTGCTTTCACTTCTCTTCCATCATAACTCTATCAGTAGAGTTTTTTGTATGTGAAATGACGAGAGTTTCCAGATCCTGACAGGGGTTGACGAGGAGGGAATGTGGCCTTAAAATAACAGGAAGGGTAATGGCTCTGAAACGCCCTGGGATGGTGAAAGGACTGGGGTGGTATTTGGGAGTGCTTCACTTATGCTTGTGGGGAGCTGATGTTTTGTGTTGGAGTCATTTGAAAGGCTGTTAACTTGCAGGAATATGTTTATTACAGCTGATTGGTTTGTATGGGCGTATCTGCATGTTGGGGGGGGGGGGGAGAAAAACCTAGCTTAAAATAGGAAATGAATAGGGAGCAGTTGGTTTGTTAGATATCTGAGACTAGCAGGAGGTGCGCAGTGCGAGCTTGCCAGCGTCTCTGACTTGGGAGTGTACGTGGAATTGCTGGTGGAATTGATGCACCAGGAAATTGCTTTCTCTTGGTTTTGTTGGGGAGATGGCAGTTAATGCAAAATGAGCTCTTTGGGTCCCCATATCCCATTTCTCTTTAATATCACCAAGATCATTTATCTTCCCGGCCAGACAGAGGCAAAAATACTTCGTTTTGTAACTTGGTTCCCCTTCCCTTCGGTTGCTGTCAGCTCATGACGAGGCACAATGTGTGCTGTACACTGTGTTCTGCAGAGCTGTTGTGGTGAGGAAGACACCGTATATGAAAAAAGAGCTATGAAAAAATCCATGTTGTGCCAGTTCTGCCCCCTTTTTATGCAAAACAGAACTGATTTATTTCTTTAAGAGGTCCCCAGTGTTTCATTTTGCTAAATTTCAGTAGCAAAAAAGTCGCTATTATACTTTTTGTCAGGACTTTAAAAAGCATCTAAAGAGGAAATACCTAAGCTAGTATTCGCATTGGTTTTGCAATAGGAAGTAGGGAAACCTTTTTGTCTGTTTTAATAAAGGGAATTGTGATTTTACTTTTAAAGACACGTTTGTTTGTGCAACTAATAGCCTGTTACGTGGTTAAAATTAAGAGGATCTCTTTAATCCAGGCTAGATGTTTTGGTTTTAATTGCTGTAATCACGCGTTTACTGTATTTCTTTCAAGTTTAAAAGTGGAAACATAGAGTTACGAGTTTTTTTTCTGTGCTCTGGTGTATAGTACAACTGTACTTGATCCCACTATATTTACATGGTGTTTTTTCCATGAGCATCCTGCTCCTGGAAGCACTGGTAGTACTAGAACATGAGTTTGAAAGTGCCATAACGTAAAGGGTGAGAGTACTTGCAGGCAGGAACGCTGAAACACAAAGTTAAACAAATAATCTCTGCCCACCAGTTCTTTCAAGTCAGTTTGATCATAATTTTGGGTCCTGCCTCGTAGCTTTCTAACTGGCCAGAGATGGAATTAATGGGGCTGTTTGTCACGACTTTAAGCATGGACAGGATTCTTTTTTGGGGTTAGATTTCATGGAAAACACAGTATAAAATCCCCTGTCAGCCCTTTGGGGTGCTGCGCCTCCGCCAGCAGACGTAGCCTTGTCTCACAGCAAGGCTGGAAATTGGAGTTGTTTGTTCCCGAGTTTTACCCTTACCAAGGTCAGAGATTTTTATCCTTCCGGAGATTCCTGATCTGGGCACTTGAAGGGTCCCTAATGAGTGAATTTTCATGGACTGCCTTGAATCCCAGAAGGAATTTGTTAAATGCCTCCAGTATTGTGCTTCTGCACTGGCAAAAGTTTGGACATCTCGGGAAGGCTGATATCTGTGTAGCAAAAATATCCATTACGGGAGTAAAGCAGTTAAGCTGAAAACATTTTCTAAGTGTCTTTTATGAAGTGATGTATTTGGCAGGACAAGAAAAACAGGGATAATTTTAATATGCTTGTTCTAA